TCCAATCCCAGGCGGCAGACTTCTACGACACAGGTATTCCAAAGTTGGTCCCACGGTATGACAAATGTCTCAATTCCGGTGGCGAATATGTTGAAAAATAGCTGGACACTTGCTGTATCTGTTGCAATAAATATTTCCGTGAAATTGTGTTTTGTTTCTGTAAACGGCCCCAGGGAAACTTACTTTAAGGACGAGCCTCGTACTTGTCTCCGTCCCAGAGACAATTCTTCCGAAGGGTTTAGAACTTATTTCAGGAATTGTCGACTTTAATGCGAAAAATACTCATATTACGCGTTGTGTTATAAATCGCAGTGCATCGGTGTCATGTAATTTTGTTTGAATCATTTCCTTCCATGATATGGACTTCATGGAATTGAGAAACAAATGGAAAATTGAAGGACGTGAGGAATACGGAGGAAAAATAGTTCTTTTTCTGCTCTGTAAACGTAGGGGGTCTGCAGTGGCCGCTTGGTCGCTGGGACCGTGGGTTCGAATCCCACTCAAGCCATGGATGTTTTTCTGTGTTGTGCTGTCCTGTGTACAGGTAGAGGCCTTGCGACGGGCCGATCCCTCATCCAAGGAGTCCTACCGAATGTCTATAGATCGAGCCAACGAAAAGTTGGGACCCCTCAGTGTTCAGGAACTTGAAGAACGGGTCATTCCCGGTATCCCAGTGAAGATTCTTGATGTTGGCATACGTTTTAATGCTGTTTTAAATTGTAAGCATTTGTGTTGTTGAACTGGTTTTTTTTTTTTTAGAATTTCCGCTTGTAACTCGTTCAAAGAGCAATTGGAAATGTATTGAAAATAGCATTTGTAGTTGATGTGTCATGATGTTCGTTTAGATTCCTCCTTTGTACGCATGCTCAGGATGTTTGATTACTGACATACATCGTAAGTGTTGGATAGACAAATAAATGGAATGAAAATAGGGTTTATGAGTCGTTTTTCCTCTTATGAGGCCGCCATTACCGAGATCAGCTGTCTGAACGTATTTGAAATATCTTCTATAAAAGTTCGTTTACTGCAGTTGGAAGTCTAGATGAATTTGTCATTATTACGTGCGGTTAAACTGTTTTATACACAGAATTCGCGGGTTTAGAAGAATGGTAAAAATTAGAAACAATTAGGCAGGGGTGTAAACTTTGGCATTGGAGCCTCTTGAACCGGCGTTCATAGTTTTAAAGCATTCCTTGTATTTTAAGATAGTTATGCTACCTAAATTAATGTTAGTAAATAGTTGTACCGCCACGGTGGTCTAGCGGTTAGAACGCTGGCCTTGTAATCCTGGGGTCTCGGGTTCGATTCCCGGCGGTGCCCGAATTTATAACTTGTGTTGGGCAAGGCCGTGGTCTAGGCAACACGGAGTTTTCCTCCGTGGCATCCCAACAATTACTCCATTCACACACAGAAGAAGGCAATGGCAAACCACTTCTGGATCATCTGCCAAGAACGTATATGAACAGGTCCCAGTCCGAGAAAAGGATGGAAGGATCCTGTTCATATGGACCTGTCGTCAGACAGAACACTAAATAAAATAGGTTTGAAGGTTTTTAGGTTATTTTAACTTAAAATCTTCTGAAGATTTCTGTCTTCTGAGTTGTTGCGCTGTGAATACAGAAATCTTCATACTCACCGCTGTGAAAACCTCAAATCTTAAAATCTTCTGATTTATATTAATAATTATTGTACATCAAATGAGACTGAGAGCTGATATTCCATGCCATAAACGACGTTCTCGTGGAATTCTTGCGTGGAATAAAAAAAACACACAGTTGTATTATTGTAAATATTATAGTTTAATTTGTGTTATTTAATGATACAGAGGCTTTGGCTGAACATTTTTTTTTTGTAAAAATTATCGGAATTATAGGATGCCCCTATTTATTTAATAATAGATTATGTTCAGAATGTTCATTTACTTAATTACACTGCAAATACACGGATAAACACTAGACAGGTTTTTTTGCCTGACTCCAGTATCAAGAAGTTGAATATAAAGTCTTCTTAGGGCTATCGCCGACGTTTCGGGCACCATCTCTGTCCTCATTTTCAAGGCTGTTGACTGTGGATCGTAGCGCTAACTAGTTCAAACCAGTGATGTAGTCAGTTACATACAGCTCTTGACTCTAATTGGCTAATTCAAAGACTTCGAGGCACTGAAGGTCCTCGCACATCTATGTCTCTTAAACACTTGGTTAAGTGCCATGAATTTGAAGTGTCCATCCCGGTAATACCCCTTGTAGGCGCTTTGGGGAAGGGAAGAGGTACATCTCATACTCATTCTTGACCTCGGCACTAGGAGGGGGTGAATGGTTAGCGTCAGGCCCCGGCCGGCTTTACCCCCGAGAAAGTACCCCAGGTACCCTTTGGACAGGACGCTGGGTGGGTCACAGATCAGGTCTGGACGCAGAGAGAAGAAACCTCTGTCCCCGTCGGAGGGCTGAACCCCGGTCGTCCAGCCCGTAGCGAGTCACTGTACCGACTGAGCCACGCCGGCACAATTTTGAAGAGAAATTAAAATAAATCAGAGTTAACGAAATAATAACAAAATATATCCTATGATCAATTTTATCTAATTTGGAACGTTAGACCACTTACAGCCAAATTTGTAAGTGGTGTTTCGCCTTTATAAATTATGAATTAAAAAGCTCTCCACTCCTCTCCGCATTGAACCGATCTGTCATCGTCCATTTTTCGGAAGACAGACGGGACCACTGAAACGTCGACAGACATCTAGCAGACTATATGGAACAAGGACACAGGAGAGAGTTACCTCCATAATCCTCGCCTTGAGAACCTGAAATTTATGACTCCTGAAGTGAGTGGAGCCTGAAATGTAAGTCAAAGATATAAATAAAAATAAAATATGGATAATCGGACAATAAATTAAAGAGAACGGTCACTGAACGAAATCGGTAATGCTGAAGGGATTTATGGAATTGAATTAACTGACCATTCGAGTGTGTTAATTTTCTTCGGAATTACAATTATAATTTAACCTAAAATTTGTTAATGTACATTGTCTCTGAGAAGAGAATGTCTGTTTATCATTAATGGATATTATGAACCAGTACAGGGACTGGACGACCGGGGTTCGATCCCCGACAGGGGTCGAAGATTTTTTTCCCTCTAGCCTCTGCGTCCAGACCAGCTCTGGGGCCCACCCAGCCTCCTCTACAATGGATACCGGGGGGTCCTTTCCCGGGGGGGGAGCCGGCCGGGGCGTGATGCTGACCACTCACCCCCATCTAGTGCCGAGGTCAAGGAAGAGAGGAGCTATACCCTCCTCTCACCCCAAGCGCCTATTTGGCGTATTGTGGGACAGATTTACTTTTGTTTTTACGAGATGGACATTGTCTTCAATTACTTCTTCTCCGGGAGCTACAAAGTTCTTCGTCAGCGGAATCCTTTCGATCGAATGTTTGTCGGCAGAGGTTCCCACTTCATTCGGTATTCAAGTGAAACTCCTCCAATTGTGGAATTTCTCTCTTCCAATGCGATCCGCGACTTTTCTGCCTTAGTCAACAGCATTCTTTCTCACCACCCTTATGACATCGACTAACGTCATTAAACATTCACCGTATATTTATATTCCCTGAAAAACCATTAAACAACATATAAGTTAAGTATATCAAAGACTTTGCAATACTCAGAATAGTTAGATTAAAAAATAGTTATGATTTGAAGCTTGAAGTTTTTCAAGTGGTAACACCAGTGAACCAGACACGATAAAATATCTTTCACTTCGTAATCTTTGAAATTATCAACTGACGGCTGTATGACACGATATTGACTCACCCTCTCTCTCTCTGGCGTACAACTAATTCTAATTTAACACATTAAATGTACCACAAACGAAATGTGTTCGGGGAAAATTAAATATATTTTGATTCTATTCCTTAGTTCGCATACCAGATGCAGTAGGATTAGACAACGACAAGTTTTGTGTCTGGTCATTGCACTGATTTGCTCCAGTGTCACGCCCACCTTATAGCATTGAATAGATTTCATAAATACGTAATTATTTGTAAGTCCGCGTTGTCCTGAACAGGTAAGCGAAGAACGTCACCTGGAAACTTAATAACGAATACAAGAGAGGATAACGAACATATTAGAAAAATTGACAGTGGATCCACGGTTCCGGAGCATTTGACGTAAATACGTCTATACGGAAAGGAAGTTTATATATTGGCTTTATTCTAAATATTTCCTTTATACATGCTTTACAATTGAGTAAAGTTTGATTAAGACATTGCTTATTTAACTTGAATTAGTTACGCTTAAGATGGGTCTGTGGTAG